GTGGGGTGGTTAAGGCATTCAGTCTCACGTGGCTGACTGCAGTTTAAGTCCCAGACCTGGTGGCTTGAAAAACTTGCTGGGCACGTTTGCAGGCATACCCAAAATCCCAAGAGGAGAATGGAGGAGAAGGGACTGCAGTGTGGCCACCCACCCTGGGGATGATTTCTTACTTTCCCTCTCTTCTTTCTTTCCAGTGACCATACATACCCTATTGCAAAAAAATCTTTAAATTCTTTTTTTAATTTTTAAAAAAGGTATTTCGTAGTTCTAAATTTCAGTAATAGCCTTTAACACTACATTTAAAGAGAATGTAACAAATTTTGTCTGACGATTGTAGACATAGCATTAACTGTCTCTACATCCCAGAAAGAGCTAATAAATGGGGATCAGCGGTTAGCGTAATGGCTATGTCGCTGGACTCCCATGTAGTCGACCACGGTTCGAGTCCTGGACCTGGTGGCTTAAACTCACGCCGGGTGCGTGTGCATGCGTGCCCAAGATCCCGAGAAGAGAATGGAGGGGAAGGGATTGCAGTGTGGCCATCCCTCTTGGGGGGTGATTTCTCACTTTCTGTCTCTCTGTCTCTCTGTCTGTCTGGCAAGCGCACGTGCCCTATAGCAAAAACCTCTTCAGAAAACAAACAAACAAAAAAGAGCTAATAAATGAAGCTACTGGCTATGAAGAGTACTGTGTTCTCACCTCCGAACCCAGTAGCCCAGGTTCTCCACAGCCACATGTGATGGTTTCAGTCCCACTGCAGTTTCAGTGTCGGTTTCCCTGCAGTGCCCCACTCAGAGTAGCTCAGTAGCTGTTGGTTGAGAAATAAATTAACGACTGCATGCACACGAATGACCAGGAGTGCTAGAGTCACAAACACTTGAGTCAGCCTCACCTTCCTGTGGTTTGTGAGACTGAGTGGTACATCATTTATCACTGACATCTCAGTTCAGGCTGTCAGTCATAAGGAAGCTAGTTAAGGAAGTTGCTAAAAATTCATTTTTACTAGCTCTAAAGATTCTGATTGACCAAAATCTTCTTCGTAAGTAGATCCGACAGGTAATCACAGTAATGATGACAGGTACATGCTTTTCGCGAAAAGTCACGGGTGGGAGGGAACACTCGTGTGTGCGTGCTCTAGAGCTTAGCGTGTATCTCCCAGGTGTCACGTTTATTATCATTACCTCCAAAAGAATGTTTGAGGTAAATCCAAATCAGCGAAGGACGGAGGTGACTTTCTGTACAGTCCATGATCTGTTCATGAAAATTCAGGTCCAAAGAACTTCCAAATCCACTAGAATATTTCCGACATCATTAGGAATCAGGTCAATGAAGTAATAATAATATCCCTGCCTAATACTCACAGAGCACATACTGGGTGCCAGGTACCTTCTAACTGTAATAAAGTAATAATCATATCCCTGCCTAATACTCACAGAGCACGTACTGTGTGCCAGGTACCTTCTAACTGTAATGCAGTAATAATCATATCCCTGCCTAATACTCACAGAGCACATACTGGGTGCCAGGTACCTTCTAACTGTAATGCAGTAATAATCATATCCCTGCCTAATACTCACAGAGCACGTACTGCGTGCCAGGTACCTTCTAACTGTAATGCAGTAATAATCATATCCCTGCCTAATACTCACAGAGCACATACTGGGTACCAGGTACTTTCTAACTGTAATACAGTAATAATATCCCTGCCTAATACTCACAGAGCACATACTGTGTGCCAGGTACCTTCTAACTGTAATAAAGTAATAATAATATCCCTGCCTAATACTCACATAGCACGTACTGGGTCCCAGGTACTTTCTAACTGTAATACAGTAATCATATCCCTGCCTAATACTCACAGAGCACATACTGTGTGCCAGGTACCTTCTAACTGTAATAAAGTAATAATCATATCCCTGCCTAATACTCACATAGCACGTACTGGGTGCCAGGTACTTTCTAACTATAATGCAGTAATAATCATATCCCTGCCTAATACTCACAGAGCACACATACTGCATGCCAGGTACCTTCTAACTATTAACATAGAAGCTCATTTATCATACACCTCTATGAGGTATAGAGACTACTGTCCTTCACAGATTCTAGAATACACATTTTTTACACTTAAAGGTGTTTTTTGTTTTGTTTTGTTTGGGTGTGTTTTGGTGCATGTCCTGGCTAGAGAGAGACAGATTGAGAAATCACCCCCCATGGGACATGGTTGCACCACAGTCCCCTCTTTATTTCTCATCCTTTCGAAATTTGGGGCACATGTGCACATGTCCCCAATGTGTTTTTTTGATCCACTGGATCCAGGACTCACCATGCAGTTGGCCGTGTGGCAGGCATCCAGTTCACTTAATCACCAGGCCATAGGCTAGCCCCACTCTTTACATTTTAACATTTGTCAAAATCAGTGCTGAGTCTTATCATAATTAGCAGCAGTTTTTCTTGGTGAGACATAAAATAATGCATTACTTTTTAAATTTGAGTTTTAAAACTATTTTCTAGATTGGCAAATGAAGCTGAACACAGGCAGTCACATGGCCTCCCCGGGTAGTGCACCTCAGTGTAGCAAAGTTCCGTCCAGGAGGTCTGCCTCCATATTGTTGGGTTTGGGTTTTGATTTTGGTTTTCTGTAGGGCACATGCACTCAGAAAGAGAGAGGGAAAGTGAGAAATCACCCCCGCCCCCGAAGGGCGATGACCACGCCACCATCTCTTCTCCTAAGTTGTCCTCTTGGGATGTGGGGCATGCACGCACAAGCGCTTAACCTCCACACTGCCAGGTGGTCCCGTATCATTGTGTTTAATGGCAATGCTGTGCTGGCTGTCTTCACAATAATGAGGATTCTTTTATAAAACCACATGGCAGCCACATTTCATGTTTCTTTCTCTTGCTAGGGGGGCACATACACTCACTGGAGAAGGGGAAAGGAGAAAGCCTCCCCTGTGGGGAGTGGTCAGGCAGCAATCCCTTCTCCTTCATCTCTCCCTCCTTTAGGAATTTTGGGCTGCACACACATGCCCCTGTCGTTTTTCTCAAGCTGCCAGATCTGGGACTCAAACCGCAGGATCTAACTTCCTTCACCAGTAGGTCCTGGAATAGCCAGTTTCTGTTTTTATGACAGAGTGGATGAGATAGAGAGGAGCCCCCTCCACAAGGCCCAGTCATGATGCAGTCCCTCTTCCTCTTGATCTCTAGTCCTCCAGCCTGTCCACACTGGATCTGGCACACGTGCTCGTGCGTGATGTACTTCAGGCTGGATGGACCATGAATTTGAATCGTAGTTGCCATGTAGGATATGGCTTCTCTCTTTTTTTTTTTTTTTTGAAGATTTTTATTTGTTGGTTGGTTTGGATTTTTTTGTTTGTTTCTGTTTTTTTTTTTTTTTTTTTTTTTTTAAGCTATAGGGCATGTGTGCTCACCAGAGAGAGAGAAAGAGAAAGAAAGTGAGAAGTCACCACTCCAGGGGAAATAGCCACACCACAATCCCTTATCTACTCTCCTCTTGGGATTTTGGGCATGCACACATGCCTGGCGTGATTCTCAAGCCACTGGGTCCAGGACTCAAACTGCAGATCTGGCCATGTTGGCTCCAGCACCCCAACCTCTGTGCTACTTGTCGGCCCAGGATCTGGCTTCTCTTGAGCAGTGCACTGGTACCATGCCACAGTTCCCCATTCATGATTTTAAAACGGAATATGTTAGGGCTGGCACATCGCGTGATAGCTGAGGGTGCCGGACACCCGTGAGGCTGACCACAGTTTGAGTCCGAGACCTGGTGGCTTGCTTTCTTCCCTCTCCCTCTCTCTCTCTGTCCTTCTCTGGTCAAATTGAAAGAAAGAAAGAGAGAGAGAGAAGAGACGGAGGGAGGGAGCGAGAGGGAGGGATGGAGGAAGGAAGGAAGGAAAGAAGGAAGAAAAAATAATTCTTTTTTTTAAAGAGGGGAATGTATTATGTTCCCTATTTAAAATACAACTCTTTCTTCTCCTGTTCATTTTAAATATATATTTAGCATTTTTATATAGGGCTTTTTCTAAGTTTACTTACTTATTCCATGAGCGAGAGTGCGTGAGGGGGAGACTGCACCTCCAGTAGGGTATTGATACTTCAGTCCACTCTCAGTCACAGCAGCCCAGATCATAGGCACCTGTGTGCCCAGAGTACTCAGGGAGGTCTGTGCACGTGAGCCCAGACCATCACGTGTGCCCAGAGTACTCAGGGAGATCTGTGTGTGTGAGCCCAGAGTATTCAGGGAGGTCTGTGCGCGTGAGCCCAGGCTATCACGTGTGCCCAGAGTACTCAGGGAGGTCTATGCGTGTGAGCCCAGAGTACTCAGGGAGGTCTGTGTGCATGAACCTAGCACCTTCCCATGTGGGTCAGCCTTGCACAGGGTCGTTTTACCACTGTGCTACCGTCTAGCCCCTAGAACATTGTTTTTATATCATATAGTAGAAGTATTCTATGATGTTGAAGATGGGAACCAGCCCAGGCCTGAGAGATAAGCCAGAAAGGAAGAATGCAGAAGGGAGTTGAAAACAACCCTGTCCTCAGACGGAAAGCCACAGGGACTGCGTGGTCAATCGCTCCACAAGCCAAGATACTGTCTGAGTGCAAAGCTCGTGGTAGCTGTCGGTCTTGTACCAGGAGCATAGCCTGCGGAGATGCCATGTGTGTTGTCCACTGTTCTCTGTGGCCAAGCTCACTCACTGCTCATGTGATCTGATTTAGAATGAAGCCTCTGCTCTGGCGTAGTTGAAGATTTAACTCCCTCCTCTAACCATTTCCTCGTCTCTTGTCTCAGTCTTTCGCAACACCCTACCTTCAAGCCCTGAGTTTCTCACACTATGACATTGTATTTTAATATCATTCATTAATTTATCAGTATAAATTCTAACCCTCAGCTGAAACAATTAAAATGAAATATTTTTACAGAAAGGTAAAATTGTCTTTATTAACTTTTTTTAAAGTTTTACTATAGGGCACATGCACTCACCAGAGAGAGACAGACAGAAAGAAGGAGGGAAGGTGAGAAAGCACCCTCACCTGCAGGGGGGATGGCCACACGCAATCCTCCCTCCTCCACTCTCGGGATTTGGGGCACACATGCACACACGCCTGGTGTGTTTTCCAATCCACTGAGTCCAGGACTCAAACCATGCGGTTGGCCCCCTTAACCCCCATGCCACTGGCAGCCCTACAGTTGTCTGTATGTGATGTACACTTTCCTCTACCTCATGTTGTCCCAGGGTTTGATATGATCACTGTATGTAGTAAGAAAGGGTCCCCTCTTCTGGCTTGTGACTTTCCTGGCAGGGAAAATGTGGTGAACTTGAAGAACCCACCATAATGATGGACACCTTGGGTGTCCGTTCCACCTCAGAGGTGTAGAGTTTCTCATGATAAAGAACTGTTGGAAACTAAACGTTTTTGAACAAGGTTTGTCCTAGCAGATCCGTGGTGTGGAAACGTGTGCTCTGCAGTTACATTTCTCAGGCTCAAATCCTGTTTCTACTTAGTTGGGACTTTGGGCAAGTTAACGGAATTTCTTTGTGTCTCACTTATCTATATGGTAAGAAAAATATTCGGTAGTACTAGCTTCACAGGTTTGAGGTGAAATTATATGAGTTCATGTTTGTAAAGTACTTAAAACAGTGCTTGATGTGTTGAGCACGCAGTACTCAGGAAACATGCCCCAAGAAGCTCAATGTAAACTAATCCGAACATAAGCCATAGTGAAGACTTTTGCTCAGTCTCTCAAGCATTGCTGTAAGATCCCCGCAGAATCAAATGTGCTTTGCTTATCTGCCATTCTAATAACCCCTTTAATTTTTCTCATTTTCCCTTAATCTAAAATACTTTTGTTCATAAGAATTTCAGAAGAGAAGCATCTGTAAAATAGCCTGGCAGTAAACCAAGTCTGAAAGGTTTCTCTTTGTCTATTGATGATCCAAGAAGGCATCTTCCAGTAGGGTCGTGACCACCAGAATGCAGCTCATGGTGACAGAAGGGCTGCCGCGTGCCGTGCAGTTGCAGCAGTGTACAGTTACTCCTCATAGCAGCCACACAACGAAGGTGTGGTGTTAGCTCCATTTTATGGATGAGGAAACTGAGGTAAAGAAGTACTTTGCTCAAAGTCACGCAACTAGAAAGAGGAGGACCATAGTACCTTTAAAATTAGGGACGTTGGCATGGTGGTTGAGTGCTGGACTCCCACATGGCCAACTGCGGTTCAAGTCCTGGACCTTGCAGCTTGCTCTCTCATTTTCCCTTTCTCTCTCACTGTCTCTCTCTGGTCACATTTTAAAAATCATACTAATAAACAACAAATACATTTTTTAAAAATGGGGACACTTTCAAACTGGCCTGTGGCACAGCAGTAGTGCACTGTTCGAGAAGCAGGATACCACATGGGGACCACAGCTTGAAGCCCTGGCTCGGTCAGCCTGAAACACAGCAAGCATACCTGTGGGTGCCAGGGTCTGAGGTGTGCAGGACTAGAGGAAGAGGACCAGGGTATGACCAGACCCTATGGTGGGTCTCTCTGTCTCTCTGCCTCTCTGATGTCCACACACTCCATCATGAATAGAAGGGGAAACGGTGACTCTTTCAGAATAGTATACAGCTCATCTCTAATGCAAAATCTGTGCTCGAGATCTGATTACCGTAAGGTCTGCCATGTACAGGACTTTTAAATAAAACATTTCAGGGGGCCCTTGATATGATGTGATAAGTCCTCTCTGCCTCTGTAATACTCTTCCTCACAACCAGTCCACCCCAGTTTAACCACAAGGGAAAAAACATACAAATCTCAGCTAAGAGACCGTCTTCAGATCACCTGGCCAGCACTTCTCAGAACTGCCAGGGTCATCAAAAACAAGGCAAAGCTGAGAATGTCACAGCCAAGCGGAGTCCGAGGGGACATGATACGACTGAGTGATGCGTGGTATCCCAGATGGAGTCCTGGAACAGAACATTAGCTAAAAACTATGGATGTCTGGAGACCAGCAGGTGGCATAATGGTTACATCGCTGGACTCCACGTAGTCAACCTTGGGTCAAGTCCTGGGCCCTGTAATTAGAACTCATAGCGCATGTGTGTGTGTGCCCAAGATCCTGAGGGGAGAATGGAGAAGAAAGGATTGCGACATGGCCACCACCCCACCCCACTTCCAGCTGGGGATGTCTCACTTTCTGTCTCTCTGGTGAGCACATGCACCCTATAGCAAAAATTTCTAAAAAAAAAAAAAAAAAGACTGTCTGATTAAAATATGGACTGGAGTTAATTATAGTGTATTAATATTGGTTCGTTAATTGTGACGCCTGTACCTACTAACATAAGATTTAACAATAGAAGAGGCCCATGTAGGGTGTTTTAGGACTCCCTATAGTACCTCTGTACTGTAGGGAATTTTTTATTTTTCTGTAAATCTAAAACCATTTTAAAATAGCAAGTTTGTTTGTTTATTTTTAAAAATCTCTTGGGGGAAGCTGCATTTTACTATTTCTTCTTGTACCTCTACTGCCAGGTTTATTCTCTTTGGGATAGTTTTCCTTCTTTAGTGAAGTGAGTGTGTAATTCACGATTGATGATAGGTTAGGAAGAAGTCCTGGCTGTTTTCTACCATGAGCTTGTTACAGTAGAGAAGCACAGATGATAAGTAAACGCTGACTGCAGGTGGCGCCTTGTTATATTAATGTTTCTTTCTCATTTTGGTTTTCCCAGGGAGCAGATTTTAAGAGTAAAAGAAGATGAGAATGTTCCATTTCTACTGGTTGGTAACAAATCAGATTTAGAAGATAAAAGGCAAGTTTCTGTAGAAGAGGCAAAAAACAGAGCCGACCAGTGGAATGTTAACTACGTGGAAACTTCTGCTAAGACCCGAGCCAATGTCGACAAGGTACAGTGTGCCCCGCCGCCCTCCCCCCCACCACCACCACATCGTGGGGAAAATGGGTGGATTTGCTTTCATTCAGCTCTGCCTTGCCTAGAGACTGTGAGACTTTCAAGTAGAGGTTTAATACATGTTGATTTTCATCATCCTTGCATGCTCAAGTATATGTTCGGAGTTTTGTTTTGTTTTGTTTTGTTTTTTACTTCACCTTGTCTTTCGCTTCCCAAGAGACATTAACATGGGAGAAAACTGCAGCTAAGTATGCTTTTTTTTTTTTAAGCATTGACGACGTTCCTGCCCTGAATCCTCACCCTTTGTTTTCAATCCAGATGGGGCTGGATGATTTAGGAGGATCATAATGTCCCAAGATGCCAGCAGTGCATGTCCTCACTTGTGCCCTGATGTCTGCTTGACCTCTTTTAAGTCCTCAGAAGTGAAGGTGCCTCCCAAGATGGAGTCCTTAGAAAAAAAAAATGTTAAAGTCTCTCCTACTGCCGATGCGCCCCACGCTCACTTTGTCCTGTTCTGAGGAGGAAGGGCGATCCTCTGCCCTCCTCTCTTGTCTTCCCACTCTGTTCAGAGTGGCCTTCCTGGAGACAGGTGTGCAACATCCCACCTGGTGTCTAGCAGCCTCCCCAGCGCCTTTGTTCCCTGCTGCCAGAGCCCACTTGCACTGTTGAGGGAGGCTGCGGTGGGCTGAGGCAGCGCCCGTTCTGCAAGGCCTGCCAGTGGGGCCGTCTTTAGCTCCCCAAGTATCCAGCTCCCACATAGTGCCTGTCCAACCCTCGTGAATGGCTTCGGGAGCTTCGTCTCACCCAGAAACCCCAATTCCTTTGGTCTCCAGTGGGGCCTGAGGACTTGCGTTTCTGGCGGGTTTCCAGTTGGTGCACGCTGTGGACTATGGCCCATGCTTGGAGTGCACGGCTCTTGGTGGCCTCAGGTTTTAGTGGAGTGGCTTGATTATGCTATAGATTCACTACCTTCATCCAGAAAGATGAGGCTAAGAAAAAAGAGCTAGCAAGAGAGAGATCCTTTCTGTTTCTTTGCTGTGGGTCTTAAGATAGCATCATTGCTGTGCTAAGCTGCTATTTTTTGTTTTAGTTACTTGATAGGGTTTCTATAGGTTCACGATATTTGCACAAAATGAATTTTATAAGATTTCTACTCAGTGTACGAGTTTTCTCTAAGGTGAGGGCAGATATTTTTAAAGTAGTAATGGAAGTAGAATTTAAGATCCAGTATGTGGGGGCCGTCAGCACCAGCGTTGAGTATTCTCATAGCATATGCAAACCCCGTTTCTCCTCATCGCTACGTTGAGCAGCTTGTAGAACTTGAGTTTCGAAACGTGAGGCAGACTGGCAGCTGCAGCTCTGAGCTCTCTGTGTTGGCCTGTGGTGGTCATCTGCTGGAATCCGAGGCCTGGGAACTGGGTGGTGTGCATTGCCAGAGCTCTTACAAGGGGTCTGTTAGAAAAAGACCAACAACCCAGTGGGAAAATTGTCACAAACTGGAGTAGAGCTGTACAGAAAGGATGCAAATGGCTTTTATACTTGGCTCAGTCTCACTTATGAAAGGGGAGTGCAGTTTAAAAATGTAATGGCAAGGGCCATCCCATGGCATGGTGGTTAAGGCAGCGGGATCCCACATGGCCAACCTAGTGGTTCCAGTTCTGGACCAAGTGACTTGAGGAACATATTGTGTGTGTGTGTGTGTGTGTGTGCCCAGAGAGAGGAGAAGGGATTGCATCACGACCTTCTTTAGGGAGAGAAGTGCTGTCTCACTTTCCCCCTCTTGCTGTCTTTCTCCAGTAACACATGAGCCCTCTGGCAAAAATTTTTTAAATAAATAAATAAAAGTGTAATGGCATATCTTTCTTTTTTTCTTTTCTTTCTTTTTTTTTTTTTTTTTTTCCTTTTCTACCTTTTACATTGCAATAAAAAGCAAAGAGGGGGCTGGTGGGTAGCATGGTGGTTAAGGGCACTCGACTCCCACCTGGCCAACCACGGTTTGAGTCCTGGAGATGGCAGCTTGCTTCCTCTCTGTCTGTCTCTCTGTCTCTCTCTGTCTCTCACTCTGTCCCTCTCTGGTCAAACTAAAATAAATAAAGTTAAATAAAATAATTCTTTAAAAAAAAGCAAAGAGGTTGATGATAATATGCTGTTGGCAAGATTATAGAAAAACAAGAACCTCTCCCATGTTGATGCAGGGCAGTTTGGTGATTAACAAAATTATGATCCAACAATTAAAGTTTTCTGTAATTGATTTATTTTATTCCTATTTTTAAAATTTTTAAAAATTGTTTTATTTAACTTTATTTCTTTATTTTAATTTGACTAGAGAGGGACAGAGAGGGAGAGAGAGCAAGCAAACCACCAGGTCCCAGACTTGAACCATGGTTGGCCATATGGGAGTCCAGCACCCCTAATCACCATGCCGTCTGTCAGCCCCTATTCCAATTTTTTTTTTTTTTAGGAATCATTTTTATTGAACTTTATTTTATGTACTTATATTTTAATTTGTCCAGAGGGGGGCAGAGTGAGGGAGGGAGGGGGAGAGAGAGAAAGCAAGCCACCAGGTCCAGGTCTCAAACTGTGGTTTGCCATTTGCCATATGGGAGCCCAGTGGCCATAACCACCACATCACCTGTTGGCTCCATGTTCCTATTATTCTTTAATTTGCTGTAGGGCCCTGCAAGTGTCTAAACTGGGTTGCGAAGGCCCGTTTACGCACGGCAGGTTCAGTTGGTTCATGCTGGCTCTTGTCCAGGCCACTCCAGTTCCTGTACATGTTTTCTCCACATGCCTTTTCAAGTGTGCTTCCTCACAGTGCAGTGGGTAGAGTCCCAGGCCCCAGAGGGAAATATCACAAGAGAATAAGAACAAGCAGAAACCATGCCACTTTTTTTTTTTTTTTTGAGAGGTTTTTCACTATAGGGCGCGTGTGCTCGCCAGACAGAGAGAGAGAGACAGAAAGCGAGAAATCACCCCCCCGGGGGGATGGTCACGCCGCAATCCCTTCTCCTCCATTCTCTCAGGATCTTGGGCACGCATGCACACGTGCCCGGCGTGGGTTTTAAGCCACTGGGTCCGGGACATGAACCGCAGTCTACTACATGGGAGTCCAGTGACATAGCCATTACTCTAACTGCTGGTTCCCCCATGCCACCTTTTGTAACCTTGTCTCTGTAGTTATGCAGACTTACTTCAGCTAGTTCTGTTGGTCAAGGTAGTCACAAGTCCTACATAGGTTCAGATGGAAAGGGGTAGACTCTCCCTCTTGATGGAGAGGGGCAGGATTCAGGAAGTACACACAGCAAATACTACTGAACTTATTTTATTGCACAAGTAAGCACATGTATGTGCTTACTGTGTAAAGAGAGATTGGTAATAGGGAAGTTTAAGGAGGAAACATGTATCACTTTTCACCCCATTCTACTCTCCTCCACTCCCTGTTGGTAACCATGTGTATCTTTCCAGATGTTAAAGGCAGATGTATGTCTAAGGTATCTAAGGGAGTTTGTGTTCACTCATCCCCCTCCTTATATTAACGTACACATGATAACAGAGGATGTGTTTATTTTTTTTTAAAAAGAATTATTTATCTAATTCCATTAGTAGTTATTTTTTTATTTGATTTGAGAGAGAAAGGGAAAGCAAGAAACCAAGTCGCCAGGTCTGGGATTCAAACCGCAGATGGCCATGTGAGAAGCCAGTGCCTTTATCTGCCATGCCACCTGCTGGCCCCCAGAGCATGTCTTTCTATGGCTTGCTTTTTAATTTTATAACAAAGAGAAGTTATAGTTCTTTCCATGCCATTGTGTATAGATGCACCCACATTCTTTTTAAAATTTACAAAGTGTTCTATAATTAGGCTTTTCCATAATTCAGTCATTTTCCTATTAATGGCATTTTGGTAGTTTGCAATTTTTCTGTTACATACAATACTGTGGTGAACTTAACTGGTATAAGGAAACCATTTCTACATGCTTCATCAGCATCATTAAAACAGCTTTTAAAAATCACTTAAAAGGGGCCAATAGGCTGCATGGTGGTTAAGGCACTGGATTCCCACAGGGCCGACCGTGGTTCGAGTTCCAGAACAACAGCTTGAAAATCATGCTGGTTGCACATGCCCAGAAGAATAGAGGAGAAGGGATTGCGCTGTGACCTTTCTCCCTGGGGAATGATATTTCTCTCTCTCTCTCTCTCTCTCTCTGTCTCTGTCTCCAGTGAGCACATGGTCCCTATAGCAAATTAAAAACAAAAAAGACAGAAAAAAAAGAACACTTATTACTGAAATTTAACTTTTGAATTAAAAAATATTTATTTAATTCTATTTGTTTTTGTTTGTTTGTTTGTTTTTAAACTAGAGAGAGGGAGAAAAAGAAAGCAAAAGTGAGAAAGCAAGCTCCAGGTCCAGGACTCAAATCACTGTCGACCGTGTGGGAGTCCAGTGCCTTAACCACCATGCCATTTGCCGGTCCAACTTTTGAAATATTATATTAGTAATTTTTTAGTTATTATTTTAATATCCCTCATTATTTCCCAATTACTAGACATCAGGCAAAAGTCAATAAATTCTCATATGTTGTTTTCTCATGTCAGTTATCAGGATAATAAAGCACCTCTAGAAATGGAGCTGAGAAAGGCAGGTTGTTAAATGTTATTTAATAGTTCCTAAATATTGTGTTAGTAAACTGGTTACTGTTAAGTATGAATTAATAAAACACATTTATCACTTCTAAAATACTCAAAGATAGTTCATTGCGTTTATTATGAGCATTTTTTAAAATAACTATTTTAAACTTTGTTTATTTTAATTTGATCAGAGAGGGACACAGTGAGACAGAAAGAGAGAGAGAGAGAGAGAGAGAAAGCAAACTGCCAGGTCCAGGACTCAAATCATAGCTGGCCCTGTGGGAGTCCACTGTCTTTTAACCACCATACCACCTGCCGGCCCCATTATTACGAACGTTTTTACCAAGAGGTCTAATTCAGGGTATTTCCCAGTTTTCCCATTTTCTCAAGGAGAAGCAGGGTTTGTTTTGCACTTTCATCTCTCTGCTTCTGTCCAGGCTCTGAGATACTTACTCTGCTGATACACTCCAGCAAGTACTGCTGGGATTAGAAAAGTACCAAGTCCGCATTGTCTGCTTGACTTACCCTATTTTCTTCTTTCTAGGTATTTTTTGACTTAATGAGGGAAATTCGAGCCAGAAAGATGGAAGACAGCAAAGAAAAGAATGGAAAAAAGAAGAGGAAAAGTTTAGCGAAGAGAATCAGAGAAAGATGCTGCATTTTATAATCAAAACCCAACCTCCTTTCTTATCTCGACCATACTAATAAATATAATTTATAAGCATTGCCACCGAAGGCTCAATTGACTGAAATTACTTTAACGTTTTGGAAATTGTTATGTATCACTAAAAGCATGAATTGGAACTGCACTGAAAGTCAAATTCACTTAAAAAAGAAATTAATGTGGCTTCACCAAGAAGCAAAGTCCAGCTTGTCTCATAATTGCCGACATCTATCACGGTCCTGAATGTAGCGTGAGCTTGTGTTTCTCGGGCAGTCTTTCCTGAACTGTTAAGTAAAGAGGTGAGAGGAAAGGCCACTTCCTCTGGTGTTGATGATAAAGCTTCAATTTTCTATCATTTTAAAATGTCTTGGTCTTCTACTGCCTTGAAAAATGACAATTGTGAACATGATAGTTAAACTGTACCACTTTTTTTAACCATTGTTATGCAAAATATAGAAGAAAAAGTTAATGGCATGGTTGTTGCATATAGTTAAGTGGAGAGTAATTCTTCTGTGAATCTGCGTTAATTGCCTGGTGGTTAACTGAGAAAAGTGGTGTGAACTTGTACGAGGACATTTTCGTATATGCCTTAATTTAGAAACTGAAAAATACCTGGCGACATTATCCTGGGTGTGTTCTCACTGGGGCCATGGGCCACGCCTCTTGTATCCTTGTGAGAGTGTGTACCTAGCATGGAGAACAGCTCTTGTCTAAGACTCCTGTGAACCGTCTGCTGGGAGCCTGTCCAGATTGAAAATGTGTGCCATACTCTGGTTCTTGAAATTAAGGTTCCAGAGCTCCTTGATTGCTTTTAATAAAATGATAATAAGGTGATTGAAAATGAAGGGCCGGCATATACTGGTGAGATCATTTTAGTCGGTGAGCATTCACCTCCAGTGATGTTGGAGAGAACCGTCTCTCTCTCTAAGGTGCTGGTCCCTGGAGATCACTCTCCGCAAACGGCAGGCGTGTGCGTGTGGGTTGTTAGTCTGGGTACGAGGCACGCCACACGGGTTGACAGCGCTCATGCTTTTTGCACTAGAACGCTTAGGGGAGCTATCCCTGCTTGCCGCCTGCTCGTTCCTAAGTGCGTACTCACAAGTCTGGCTCTCTGGGAGTATTAGGAATGTTGCAGACTGTTGATTTCATAACAGAGAGCACTGTAGCTTCATTTTCCTAGCATTAACATCGAGCAATCAAACCCAGGTGTCGTGCAGAACTGTGTTTGGCACACGCAGAGCAGGCGTTAAGCTGTGTTGCCACTGCGCGCATTCCCGCTAGGAGAATTCGCGCACGCTCTCTGGGAACATCATTTTGATGGGAAACATACCACTGTCAGATTTTTCTTTTCCTCTCTGGACTGGGACAGTTGCTTCAATAAAGTTTGTCCTTATTTTCGCTCAGTCCTAATTTCAACAGGTCAGAGAACAGGTTCAGGCATTCCAGGTGACAGGTATGTACGTAAATTAAACAAAAATAGGCTTTTTAGGAACTCAACTCTTAGATATTACATTCAGCTTGTCATGTTAAGTATTCGTCCTTGACGGGTTTGAAGTGTACATCTTCCATTTCATATTTTTCATAGGCTATGCCACATGCAGAATTAAAGTTAGCAGTGTCACATCGGCACGGGCCAGCCATCTCCATGTGTACTCATTGCCGTCTCATTTAACCAGGGGTCCTAACCACTAACATTGTGACTTTGCTTTGAGACCTTTCCTCTCCTGGGTACTGAGGTGCTATGAAGCCAACTGACAAAGATGCCTCCCATGTCAGGCTGATGCCACCACCCTGTTCGTTTATTTGCAGTTTGAGCCATTTAAAGACCAATAAACTTCCTTTTTTAAAATGTGTGTGGTGTTACTTGATGTTTACAGTAAAATATGTCAAATTCAGATTTATCAACCAGAGATTTAAAAGCAGCTCAATTTCTCAGGCTGTTTAGGGACTTCCTTTTGTGTAATGCCAGATTTATTTCTTTTTAAAAATTATTTTATTTAAATTTTTATTATTATTATTTTAAATTCGACGAGCGATAGAATGTGGGAAAGCAAGCCACCAGTTCCAGGACTTGAACTGTGGACGGCCATGTGAGAGTCCAGCGTCTTAACCATCACGCCTCCTGCTGGCTCCATAATGCCAGATTTCTTAAGTAACAGTATCATCATTGGTCAGGTTTAATCACAGCTCAGCAGTGGAGGACTCCCATGTGCCAGTTACATAGAAGATGCTCTTCATCTTGTCATGAAAATCACAAACGCATACATAACATTAGAATGCTCTTCAACTCTAGAATGACTCGGCAACTTTATATTCATTCTCTTCATTTTTAAAGAATTACATTTTATTTATTTTTAGTATTTTTTAACTTGGTGTAGCGCCCATATAGTCACCAGAGAGAGCCAAAGAAGGGAAATGAGAAAGCAAACCACCAGGTCTGGGATTCTAACCGCAGTCAGCCCTGTGGGAGTCTAGTGACTTCACCAAGCCACCAGGTCTGGGACTGTAACCACAGTCAGCCCTGTGGGAGTCTAGCACCTTCACCGTGCCACCCACTGGCCTTTGTATTCCTTTTCTAATCAGAATGACCACCCCCTCCCAGGCAATTAAATCGTCAAATTGTGGGAGTGATCTCCCTGTTACCGGCTCACCACGCTTTAGACCTGTCTTTGTCACATTTGATGTCTGGTAGGAAATCGTGGACAGCCTGTGAGTGGGAAACAAGTCTGGCCAGATGCTGGGCACAGCCTTTCAAAGTCCAGTTCAGTTTAATTCCTTAACTCCTGAGCAGTGCTAGAATGAGTATAATTAAGATTGGCATCATTTAGATCTCAATGTGTGGACTCATTCTTCACACCAGTATAGGACATGACATTAAATCATGCATCAAACAAAAATCAGCTAAGTTCTTATCTCAAGATGAATCGGGGACCAGCAGTTAGCGTAATGGCTATGTCGCTGGACTCCCACGTAGTCGACCGTAGTTTGCAACCCGGACCCAGTGAATTAAAACTCACGCTGGGCGTGTGTGCGTGCGTGCCCAAGATCCCAAGAGGAGAATGGAGGAGAAGGGATTGCGGAGTGGCCATCCCCCCTGGGGGGTGATTTCTCTCTTTCTGGCTCTGGCGAGCGCATGCGCCCTATAGCAAAAACCTCTCAAAAAAAAATAAAAAAAAAAAGAATCAGAATGTCTCATCTCAAATTTTTATGACAAAGATGTAAAACAATTTAGCAATCATATGTAAGGATAAAGGAATGGGTTTTTCTTTAACCCAGTGTTAGAAGTCTCTGTATCAAGTTATCCTGGAACTCAGAGTGGCATGGCAGGTCAATAGAGGTCTCCATTCATGCCTGTAGTTTCCAGTAGGTTTTCTTGGGCTCCACTGTCGGTAGTGCTGGGAACATTTAGGTAAAGGACAGAGTTAGGGGCAAGTTCCATGTGCCCCATGTAAAAGAGAACATGAGGTTCGGAAGAGATTACAAGGGAAGGCTTCGTTCTTGCTCTGGGGTAGGCCCTCGTGATAGCCCTGCACAGTAATAGCAAGCACAGCGCATCCTATTAATATGTGCAAGAGTGTGTTGTTGGATACTTAGAAATAACCCAATTAGGTAGGTGCTATTTTTTTTTTTTAGTGTATTGCACACTTAAACTCTCCAGAGATGGTAAAGCACCCCCCCAGGGGGTATGACTGCACCAGGATCCCTTCTCCATTCTTTGGGGACTTTGGGCACACATGCACATGTGCCAGGTGTAGTTCTCAGTGGGATTCAACCCCCTTAACTGCCATGCCACTGACTGGCTTGATGGCTGCTGTTATTAACCACTTTTCTGCAGATGGAGAAACTGAGGCAGAGAGAAGTTGAATAACTGGTCCATGGCCACAAAGCTGGTACTTAACTTTGAAATAAATACTGTAATTGAGAGGAGGAAACCAGTGATATTAACACTGGCTCAGAGAGAGTAGTGCAACAGTTGAGCCACCGACAGACCCCCATACCGGAAGATAAGAAAAAAGAACAGACGTTACCTTGTTTTATGTGTTCTAAATACTTTTCAAATGAAAAGTGTTTTTTGTTTTTTTTTTTTTAAAAAAGGTCTGGCATTGCTCAGTGGAGAATAGTGGAGCTCAGACAGCAGCTAATTAGTCACTAGCCTGCACCAGGGTAGGAAACACCCAGACATCCCTAGGCTTCAGCCACTCGCTGGAGCAGTCTCCAGAATGCGTGCAGATGGTGCTGTGTGAACAGAGACCAGGCCGTGCACGCAGCCTGGTTGCTAAGAGAGATCTAGAGCCAAAAGGGAGAACTGCAGAGCAGGGCCCCTGCGCGGGCGGGACTTCCTGCGCCTTTTCCATAGCATCAGTGTAGAGACAAAGTTCCTTTGGGAGCCCAGGGCTTCCATCCCACAGTTTAACGGCAAAATACCTTCCTAGCCACTCTGCATCCAGCTGTTGTGAACAACTAACTGAAGATGCACGGCAAGGGCTAACCTGGCAGAAAGACAAGACTGCTTTTACCACAAGCCCTGAGGAAAACGCAGCTACAGCAGCTAGCTGCTTGTAAGCAACTAGCAGGTGGGAAATACCCCCAAAAGGCAGTGTTGAAACAGCCAAAAGAAGTGTCAAGGCTTTGGAGCTGGAAAGGAAGGGAGCAGAATGAGAGCAGAATTCTGGTCTGGAGGATGCACAGTGCAGTCTCGGGGTGTGGCCCGGACAGCTACATCCTCACAGCTAGCGCCTTTATTAACGGTCGATCTCTGTGAAGCACGTCAGATTCAATGGTAAGATATTTAGGTAGTTTTTCTAGAGTCCTAGAAGTTGGCCTTCCAAGGACCTTGGAAGCAAGTCGTTCCTCAGTTTGCAGATCAGAAAGAAGAAAGAAGGAACTTGCCCGGGATCACACGAATCACATAAGAACCAGAATCGAATGCAGGTCTTCCATCCAGTCCCTGCTTGTCCACTTACCTTTCTCTGCTCTTGGCGGGGCCCAGAGTGCTTTAAACGGTGATTGCACAACAGAGTCCTGGGGTTCCCAGAGCTTAAGGAGCTGAAATCCAAGGTGGGCCTCCTTCCCCACTGAGGACCTTAGGAGCCGACATGGGCCTCAGGTTCTCAGAAGTGAGCTAGGCATTCATTGCCTAACTCCTGGAGTTAATGAGGATTACATAAGGGATAATAAATAAAATATTTCATTTTATTTATTATTTTAACTTGCTATAGGGCATGTGTACTCACCAGAGAGAAAGAGAGGGAGGGAGAGAGAGAGAGAGAGAGCAAGCTGCCAGATCTGGGACTAAAACCATAGTCAGCCATGAGCGAGTCCAGTACCTTAACTACCACGCCACTTGCTATTTTTATTGTTGGCTGTATGCAAGGGTCTTCAAAAAGTTCACGGAAGTGCATATTATGAAAAACATGCATGGATTTTAAAATTTTTTGCACAAAAATAAAGTTATACTCTATTTCTTGTTTTTCCATGGACTTTTAGAAGTCTCCTCGTGGGGCTGGCAGGTGGTGTGATGGTTAAGGTGCTGGGCTCCCACATGGCCGACCACGGTTCGAGTCCCAGATCTGGCAGCTTGCTTTATCACTCTCCTTCTTACACTCACTCTCTCTGTCTCATCCTGGTAAAATTGAAGAAGAACAATAAACAAATAAAATTAAGTAATTTCCTAAATGTAAATCCCCTTGTATTTTTTAAATACAGAGGAAAGATTGAAATGTGCCTGGTTCTCTGGTCTCAATAAAAGCAGTTTTTATGTGACTTTGGTTTGGCCTTGATAGAGCCATAAAAACCCCTCCTAAGTCCCTCTGTGTTGTGTTGACGTTTGGGGAAGAAGGAAGGAAGAGACTGTGTTGTTGAAGGAGCCAGAAATTCAGGTTGCCACCCTCTGTATTCCCTGACTCTCAGCCCTCAAAGGACCCTCAGATGACTAAGAGTGGAGACAGGAAAAAGGCTTGCAGAGACCAGGTGGCCTGTGCAAGGTCACAGCTGGGGAGGCGGGGTCAGGACTTGTTCCCGCACTGTTGGCCAAGTCCTTCAGGTTCTTTCTCCCAAGTCTGTACCTGTATCAAAATCAGGAATTCTGACCGGTGAGCAGGAAGGGAGGGAGCACCAAGGCCCAGGAAGGGAGGAGAGGTCAGAGACATGGCCTCTGGTCCTCTCTCAGCTTCAGAGGAGATTGGAGCACAGGGGGAGAGGAAGACTTGAGGGACTGTCCATATGGGAATATTTTCTCCGGCCCCTGATACGGGGGTTCTAACCACCACATCACCTGCTAGCCCCAAGGGAATTACTTTTATATGTGGATATTTCTTTTTCAGATGTTGTATTATTGGTGTATTAAAAATCCCAGAGATTTGTATATGTTGATTTTTTGTCCTACAACTTTACTGAATTCTTTTTTCAGATCCAGGAGGTATTTTTTGTTTGTTTGTTTGTATGTTTGTTTTTGAATCTATAGGGTTTTCTATATGTAAGATCATATCATCTGTAACCAGGGACAGTTTGACCTCCCCCTTTCCAATTTGGATGTCTTTATTTCTCTTGCCTAATTGTTCTGGCTAGGACTTCCAGTACTATGTTGAACAAGAGTATTTGTAAAAGTGGGCATTTTTATCTTGTTCTAATTCCTAAAGGAAAAACTTCCAACTTTTCCCCATTTGTCATTTATAGCCTTTATTGCGTTGAGGTACATTCCTTCTATCCCTAATTTGTTGAGCATTTTTATCATAAAGAGATGGCCTTTTGTCAAATTTTCCACTTCTGTTGAGATGGTCATATGGTTTTAGTCCCTGAGTTTGTTGATATGGTGTATGATGTTTATGAATCTGCATACACTGAGCATGC